GGGCAGTGGAACTGCTGCTTCCCCCAGGAAAGGCCACAGGAGCTGGGATCTGCCCTGTTCTGCCCATGGGGACAAAACACTACGAGAAACCCAAGCACAGGGGCTTTGCAGATGCGCCCAGCATGAGCCGCCTGGACAGCAGGAGCTTGAAAGGGATGTATGGAGCAACTCTGAGCTCCAAGGCCACAGCCAGCAGCAAGTCAGCAGCATGAGGGGGCAATGTAGGAACAGAAAGGCCCCAAGCCCCAGCAGCCAGGAGAAGCAGGGCAGCATTGCGTTGCCTTTGGACATTTTCATTTTTCCAGAACTACTCTGAAACATGGTATTTGCATTAGACCACCAATACAGAGCAAGGGTGAGGTTTCTTTCCTTGCCTGCTGCAGCAGTGGTTGGGAATTCGCCCCTCTTTTGGCAATGGGAACACGTTGCTGATGCCAGCACCAATGCTAACTGAAACCAGGTGGAAAAAGAGTCCTCAGCTTCCCAGCACCGGGATCCCATTTCCAGCCAGCAAAGCCTCCAGCAGGGATTTCCAAAAGCCTCTGGTCACCAAAGGGCAGCTCGGTCCCCTCTGTGCTGAGCCCTGCACCAGCTGGGGACATCCCTGCGTTTGTCCAGAGCCACACCGCGCGATGGGACTCTGTCACCCTCTTGTGGCTACAGGGGCTGACGTTGGCTGGAAACGTCCCACCCAATTCCCAACCCACTCAAATCTCAGAGAGGAAATCAAAGGCAGAGGGAGGCTCACTCGGCTCTATCTGAAAGCCATTGTGATGATGTCCAAGTTGCTAAAGAAACTTGGATAAAACCCCAGAGATTAACAACAGCTCAGGGCTTTTCTGCATACTGGAGTTTTGTCTGCTTCCAAGAGAAACATATATATGTGCTTCGGTGGAATTTCTCTGTACGTTTTTTGGCGGAGCGGCCGCAATAAATCCCTTTACTGCAATAAGATAAGGCAAGGATCCCTCTGCAGTTCCCCAGGAGAGGCTGGAGATGGCTGTCCAGCCCATGTGTGTGTGTTATGCCTGCATGAAACTTGAGCTGTTCAGGTACACAGAAATCCATCTGCACGGTGCAGATGGAGGCAGCGCAGGGTACATCCCAATGGAGCTGCTCCACACCCCAAGCTGCTCCCTCCATCCCTTCCTTTTCCTGCCTCCCAGCTTTTGACATGAGTTAAAGCAGCAGAGGAACGCCTGGTGGGGGAAAAATAATCCCCCAAAGCTCCGGTTCAGGAACGCAAACACGGCCCCCGTCCCACTCCTTCCAGGTAGAGCTGCTGCAATCTGGGTAAACACAGCAGGGCTGCCCCGAGTGTTGGTGTTGGCTGCACTCACCTCGGGGCTGCCAGGGCTTTGAGCAGGGCTATGCTTACAGCTGGCCCTGAGCAGGGCTGGGAGGGGGGCGTTAATCACAACAGCCCTTCTGCTTGCTCCATTGACATAGATCTGAGAGAGAAACGAGGAATTAAAGGGTTCACTGCTGCCATGCCAGTAGGCACAAGCAGTTGGATGTACCCAGTGATGTATTTCCCATCTAGATTGCTAAGATTAAGCATATTGCAACCAAATTTTAATGCCACGTCTTCTACTCATTAGAGTTCTCAAATCTGTTCTCGCAGCTACACAAACTAAAAGGCTGCTTTATATTCTGTAGGTTTAGAGGTGAGTTTTTTCCACAGTTAATTAGTTTGAAGCTAACAGGGCTGGGTCTATTGGTTCCAGTCATGGAGCCATTGGGATACGCGCAGATACAGATATAGTTTTTCACTTCTGAGTTGCTGTTTCTCATCTGGCAGCTACTGAGTCAATATTATTTGATGCCGGTCTGCTTGCTTAGGCGAAATGACCCCACCATCCCTAGCAAACCCCAGCAGCAGGAGACCACATCACAGCCCCTGGGTTTGGCTCTGCATTCCCATCCCAGCAACACGGCCATGGGGCCAAGGGACAGGCATGGGGATATGGCCCCACTCCCCAAAGGGACCGCAGGTGAAGCTGGAGCTGGTGAGGATGGCTCTGCTGTGTCAATCCCATTACTGGGGACAGAGTCCCTGCACCTTGTGTAGGAATCCTATAAATGTAACGTGGGAATGCAGTGTAACGTATAATCCCTGCACAACCAAAGGCAGCCTGGAGTAGATGCTTCAGAGGGCTCAGCTTTGCCTTCACAAATGTGGCTGGTTAGTTAGTGGCTAATGTCACTTGGACAGCCAGATCCTGGAGGGCACCTGCTGCTGGTAGATGCCTAAAATGACCCTGATTGTGTCTGGGAAGCGGGAGGCAGAGTTGCTTGAGCGAGGCCGAGCCACAGCGGAGCCATGTACACAAAACAATGCCATGATTCATCTGAGATTGCCATAACCCATCACATTTCATCAGGATGCTGTGGCATTTAAAATGGCATTTCCTCCCATCTGTTGTGCATTAGCAGACAAAGAAAAGGAGGAGGGGGAAGAGAACAGCTGAACAAGAGAGGGGAGAAATGGGATTCTGGAGTGAGGCTGTTCCTGTGGCAGCTCCTCGTGAAGCTGTGGGTCGAGGCAGGGGAACTCATTGCAGACCGTCAGCCCCACGCTGCCCCAGCTGCAGCCCACGCTGCTCCCCTGGGCACACAGAGAGGGATGCTGACGGCCTGGGTGACTCAAAGCCTCGCAGAGCAGCACCTGGCAACCCACTGTGCCCACAGAGATGCGCAATGCTGGCTGAGGGCTGGTAAATCGGGGGCAGGAGGAAAGCAAGTCCCTCAGGCCCACCGCTGTGGCCATTTCCTCCTCTTCTCCTCTGATTTCCCACTGCCTGCTCCCTTCCCTGTCTCATTTTCCCTTGGAAATAAAACTTCTTCCTCCATCCCAACTTCTCCCTTCACAACACCCCATTTCCTCTCACTCTTTTGCTCCTGTGCTCTCACCTTCTCCCCCCCCATCCCTTTACAGTTCCCTGCCCTATTCCTTCCACCTCCATCCATCTCTCTTATGCTCCCCTCATCCTGCTCCATCCCCATTTTCCCGCAGGAGCATCCCAGCAGCAGAACACCAGAAAAGCCATGGAACAGCTGCCCTAGAGATGCTGCGTGAAGCATCCTGGTGATCTTGCCTATAATGGGGTACAATATGGGTTAGACTCACGTTTAGGGACAGTGGTCTGATGCTAAGACCCACCGGAGTCACCTGCTGGTGGTGACAATGCTCCTGTTCCCAGACGGACAACCCACCCCTTGGACAGGGGATCCAGCAGAGGCAGAATGAGTAGTTGGAGGAAGAAATTCCTCAGGCAAACATCTGGGACCACTCAGTATCCTGACCCCATAGATTCTGTGCACCATACCAGCATCCCTACAGATCCAGACCCCATAGATGCTGTGTACTATGCCAGCATCCCTAAGGATCACAACATCTCTTCACTTTGTTTCATGCTTTTCATTCCCCAAAGCAGCAACAGGCAGAATCAGCCCCATGCCTGAAAACTACACCCAGCTGAGCAGCACCAGATAAAAATGTACACGCATGGCAGAGGATATGTTCCCCATGGCTACATCACGCTAATGCTGCAGACTTGTAAGTGGACAAATACGCAAAAATGATGCTTGTAGCTTCATGAACAGAGAGCAGAGAAGTGTCCCTGCAAGCCCAAGGGTCCAGCAGACGTGCTTAGAGACTGTTAGCTTCCATAGGGCGCAGAGCAGGAATGACGGCGCCGTGCAGCTGCTAGCAGCTCCCCAAGCCGGGGTTTGGCCAGGACACAAACAGTCATTCAGAATGGAATAGGTGTGGACAAGTTTTACCCCAAGCAATAAGCAAATAGCATGTGAAAGTGGCAGCGAGCAAAGCTGTCAGCTTGTGAGGCTGAGGGCATGGAGCGGGCTGTGCGGTTATTAGCAGACTGAGCCGGCCACTAAATCACAGCCGTGTTATCCCCTGTCTGGGTTTGACACTTCTTCCTCCGATCTATTCGTGACTCAGTGTCTTGGCATGGAAAACGCATACCCGAGAGGTTAGCTTTTGAAATCCACCAGGGACATTTCACCTTCCTAAAATAAAGAGTGGGCAAAATACTTTCAATGTCCCTCCAAAAAAATGCAGGAAAAAAAATCACTCCTTAATAAGAGCATGTTGTTGGGCCTCAGCTGGCTTCAGGCTGAGGTCAATTTTCCTATTTATAATCATGCAGCTGTTTGCTGACTGAATAACTGTATTTATTATTTGGCATGTTTACCAAACGCCTCAAATACCTTCTCTACCTGTAATTGTGGTGCAGAGTACATGTATATATATTTCAGATTAGTTCATTCAAGTGGCTTGTGTTACTACCAGGCCCTGCGCTGTGGTTTCCTAAGGGTATTCGTGGCTTGAAGGTATCAAACTTTGGACTCGGGTGACCCTGAACTGTAGCAGACACTTGAGGAAAAAATGGAGTCCATTTTTAAAGTCATTTGTCCATGGGCACTCCAGGGTTTAACATAAGAAATGTGTAGATGTGGTACTTAGGGACACAGTTTAGTGGGCAGTAGGTGGACAGTTGGACTAGGTGATCTCAGAGGTCTTTTCCAAACTTAATGACTATGATCCTATACTCTACTTGCCATGCTTGTAAAAAGCACCTTCTGAACATGTTTTCTCTCCATCTACGTTCAACTCTGTCTTCTTCCTTTCTACATTCTACTGGAACTGACCAAAACCAAATCCAACCCCTTTTTCCTGTGACATTAGTTGGGAGAGCTTTGTTGCCTTGGAGAGATCCTCTCCTTTCTGCCCAAAGCGTGGGCATCCCTTCCTTCATCTGTAGATTCTTGCGCACCATGGAGTATGCAGGGATAGAGGTGGAAGAGGTTGGGTTGGTTTTTCCAATTCCAGAGGCCCCTGAAGTCATCTTCTTCAGGCATTTGCTCCAGGCCGCATTGGTTCTACATGCTCTGCCCTGGTCAGTCCACCACAGGACACACGCTTCAGGGCTTTCTGCCCCAGCCTGCTTTCCTTACCTGTTTTTTTCCCTTCTTAGCTGGAGAACTGGGTCTCCAAAGCAGATGCTGGCTGATAAGCCTCATGCCTTTGTGCGAGGTCATCCCAGAGCAAGGGAATGCTGTCCTGGTCAGTCACAGCATCACCCTTGCAGGGGTGCCACAGCCACATTTATAGCGAGCTTCAATGACCGTCTGTGCCGGAGGAGGTCACCCCTAGAAATGCCTAGCCACGTCTGTGCTTCATTTGCAGGAGCTGTAAACCTGCCACCTGGCTGGTGGCTTTATTGCTTTGGATGATGCTGGTGTCAAAGAAATTTGGTGCGGGAGCCAATTGGAACACAGTCAGTTTTATATTTAATCTTTGCTATAAAGGCAAATAAAGGTTCTGTATTTTGAGTGAGTGACAGACAAGCCACGGTCATTATTAAACCTTCTAAAAATAAACCTCTGCTGAAGTGACAGGAGCCAGATTTTTCCTGGAAAGTATCAGCATGAGGAGAGGGTAACAGGGCAGCCCTTCTGCAACGCAGACTGCCTCCAACAGCTGCACTGTGTCAGGAGCTCCTTCTTCTCATTGTTTGCTTTGTTTGCCCCCAGAATGCCTGAGCAGATCCTTGCAGCAGCTTCATGTCTATCCAACAGTAAATCACTCCAGAGCAGTGAGGCCTCTGTCCCCACAAGAGGAAAATTTAGTGGCTGTTGCTGAAGTAATCACTGCCTCGTTGGTTATCAGCCCATCCTTGTTGTGGGCGGTGTCTGATCTCCTGCTGGAATGCAGCAATGTAAGAAGCATCAGCATGCATCCTGAATATCTCTTGAGCTCCCCGGGCCCAGATGGTGCCTGGGTTTTTGCTCCTGAGCACAGCTCTGTTTGCCCCAGAGGTTCCCCCTCAGCCTGGGGCTGGCTGGAGCTCCTCAGGAGAGACTCGGTGCCCGGTTTGGGTCCCCCTCAGCCAGCCCAGTTCACTTCTGGATTTGGCTTCAGGCCTCAGCTACGCTCCCTGTCCTGCTTCGGGCGCCATCGTGGCTTCCCAGGGTTACCCTGCTCAGCTCAGTGGCCACAGTGGGTAAGACACAACCCAATCCCAACGCAGCCCAAACTCAACTCAGCCCAACCCCAACCTCAGCTCTAAACCCAACCCCAACATCAATGCAACCCAACCCCAACGTAACTCAACTCGCACCCCGCAGCATCCCAGCCCCAGCAGCCACTTCCGGCACTACATTTCCCAGGAGGCCGCGCGGCCGGAAGCGGACGTGACGTCGCTCAGCGCGGCACGCGGCGCCCGGGGCAGCGCGGAGCTGGGCCGCGCCATGGCGGCGGAGGGCCGCGGGCGACGGGAGCTGCTGGCCCTCATCCACCAGCACCTCCTGCGCACCGGCTACGCGCGGGCGGCCCGCGAACTGCAGGCGCAGCTCGGACAGGTAAAAGGGCCGGGCCGGCTTCGATTGGGCTGCGCTCGCCGTGGGCCCGCGGGGCGGCGCGGTGCCGCGCGTGTGGGGCCGGGCTCACGGGCAGGGTCTGTGCGCGGGGTTCGCGTGGTCCGGGGCGGCATCGTGGGGTGCTGGGAGCAGAACCGGGGGCTGACGCGTGTTCTCTGCCCCTCAGAAGTTGCTCCCGTCCCTGGCAACGTCGCTGGAGGAGATCTTCACGCACTGGGAGAAGTGAGTGGGGAGGGAGGGGGCCGGGCCGGGGGACACGTGTGTCCGTGATTTGCGGGGCTTCCCCTTTGTGTGGTGGCTGTGGTCGGCAGCCTTCCTCCTATCCTGGTTTCACGTGGTAACGTTTCCTTAGCTTAGGGATAAGTTGTTGCTTAGTTTTGAGATGCTGTTGATGCTGGGATCAGAGGCGTGCTTTGCTTTCCCCGTCTCTGTTTCAGTTCCCTTACCAAGCCACGTGCTTTACACGTGCCTATTGACTGCAGGCAGAGTGAGCTGCACATGGAGAATGGGCAGAGACTCACAGTGCCCTAAGCAAAGCACAGGTAGCACCTGTATCTACCTGAAAAGACCTTATAATCATTTGAGTTGGAAGGGACCCTTAGTAACCAACTGATCCAACTCTCCTGCAGTGAACAGGGATACCCACAGCTCCATCAGGTTGTTCAGAGTTTGATTCAGTCTGACACAGAATGTCTCCAGGGATGGGACATCCACTGCCTCTCTGGGCAGCAAAGGATCTCCTGCTTCCAGCCAACCCTCTCATGCCCGTACTTGTCCATCCCAGTGACTTCTCACATCATTTTCCAACTGAGTGCTTCCTGTGAACATCTGCAGCACGAAGCCTCCAGCTGTGTGCAGTGAAATATTATTTGTTCTCACCCTCTGCACTTTGATGCAGAGCTTGGTGCCTGTGCTGAGAAGTGATTGAGTGAAAGCATTCCTTTGGCTGTACCCCAGCCCTGGGAAGCAGGCGTTTGCTGAAGAGGTGTCTCCTGCTAGGATGCCTCATGCCTTGGTCTTGTTGCTGCAAGAGCAGGAGAAAGCTGGATCTACATAAGAAAGGAGTAGTGTAAGAACCAGGATTTACAGTTCCTGCCTCCATCAATATTTTGCTTTCTTGGGTGTTGATGCCAACCTTCTTCTGTGCCTGTTGTCATATTACTTTTAAACCCAAGGGATGACAGGGCTTTCACACTGTCTGATTCCTTGTTCTCTGGTGTCACCCTTACCTTCTGATTCCACACCACAAGTAAGCCTTTTATTCCTTGCTGGCCCTTGCTATGTCTTCTACATGAGGGATGTGTTGACTTGTGGTTTAATTTATCCAGAAAGTGTCCTGCTTGGCTCAAATGCACTTGCCTGGGTGAGCTGTGATCCTCTAGTCTTGTCACTTCATAGGCTAGAAAATACCTTTCCTCAGACTGTGCTGCAGCTCCTTCCCATCTGACTGAGACCATCCTCTGTGCTGTATTCCAGAAACTCTTTTCAAAGCCAGCCTGGTAGCTGGCATTTGCAGTTTAGGAGCGGCCTTCCTGCTGGACCTGTTTGTTACTGGGAGATGCTGGGTGGGTGAGGGAGGCTGCAGAGCTGCTGAAGTGGTGGGAATGCTGAACAGGTTCAGCCCTGTGCAGGAGGAGTACATGCAGCCCCCAAAGGCTGCTGCAAAACGAGCACCTGAGGTCACCGCTGCTCTCCTGCATGCGATGTATGGAACGCCTGGTCACACGTGGCAAATTCTTGGAGTGATTTCTGTTGTATTACCAGCTGCTGACAAATTGGGCAGGCATTCCTCCCCTCCTTGGGAGCTGTAGAAGAATGACACTTATTTGTCCTCCGGCTTAAGGCTGGCCTGAGAGTGGATGATGTTAAATTTTCCTATTTGTTCTTCATATTTCCCTTTTTTTTTTTTTTTTGACACAAAATCCATTCCCCTTAGAACTCCTTCAAAAGCCAGGAGAAGAAAGCTGAGCGATGAGGAGGCGGCCATCCCAGAAAAGATCAGAGTTCCTGATCCTGTGAGCAGCTCTGAAAGCTCAGAGAAAGAAGAGGATGAGAAAGAGAAGACGAAAACTGGAAATGGTAAGAGCCTGTAAACTCCCTGAATTTCACAGAGTAATAGTGAGGGGTTCTGTGGAGCAGTTCAGTTTGCTTGGCTAGAGAGAATGCTTGTAAATCAATGGCTACTCCCTCATGTTCTTAGGACAACAGATTCATCACATTTATCAGATTTATCTCATGTAGAGTTTTTGAAGAGCACAGATGTATGCTGAGGCCAACAAAAACCTTCTATGATTCACTGGGAAGGGATTGGATACTGTAACTTGGGTGAAGCCTCGGGAAATAAGCCCCAGCTGTCTGCTTGGCCAGCAAAGAAAGGTATTTTCACAGATGAGGGAAGGACCTTTTTATTTGGTCTGGACAGCCCTTGTGCTGTTGACATGGGAGGCATTGGCTTGTGCAGCCTAACAAAAGCCCACGTGCCTCAGGTGTTTTAGCTCAATCTCATCTGCTGTAATACATCCCCTGGAACTGTGCAGATCGTGTCTTGGCTGTGGTAGAAGCAAGGCACCTACGTGTTGCAGGAGTAGTGGCTGTGGATCTGAGGCAGGTGTAAAGATGGGCTCTGCCCTGCCTGCTGGGAGCCTTTGCAGAACAGGGACTGTTCTGATGTGAGGAGGTCTGTCTTCATTTCTCTGTGTCTCTCCTGTGCAGTAACCAGCATTTCCCCAGTCAAAAACTCAGCAGTGAATGTAGAAAGCAGTGAAGATGATGACTCCTCATCAGAAGAGGAAACGCCAAGTGGAAAAGGTGCAATTACGGTAAGGGGATGCTGTCTCCTAAGTGTTAGAACTTGTCCAGATGCAAAATTGCTGCTTTGAGGTAATGCTGTGTCCAGTTTAACCCCTCATTTTTTCTATAGACTTCGAATTTCTTTTGTTTTCTGTAGGTGACACCAGCTGCGGTGAGTGGCAAAGCTGCCAACTCCTTGCATTCTCCTGTTAAACCCACTGCTCCAGGCAGTAAAGTAGCAGCGTCCTCTGCTGCAAACAGAACTGTGCTCTCAAATAAGCAGCAGCCCAGTGCATCAGTTGCGACCCCAGCCAAGGCTGGGCAGAAACTGCCTGGTCCTGGGAAACCTGGACGAGCTGTAGCAGCCGTGAGCCAAGCAGTACAAAGCAAAGCTCCAGTAACGACCAAAGCACCGGAAAGCTGCAGCAGCAGCTCATCAGAGAGTGAGGAGGAAAAGGAGACACCAACTGTGAAGGCCTCAGCCCCCAAAGTGGGTAAGGAGCCTGCAGGGCAGAGTGAATGCGTGTGTTGTGCTCTGCTTTCACCACAGATCAGATCCCTGCCATATCATAGCACGTTGCTTTCAGTTCCCTTGCTGGAAAGCTCAAAGCAGTTGCTCCTGGGGAGACTGCAAGAATACTGCAAAGCAGGCAGCTCTGGAGCTCTGTGGGATGAATCCAGCATGCTTGCTTCCATTTTGAGTAGCAGATGTTGTGCTAAGGAGTCTGTCTGCATCTCTGTCAGCATTGTGCTCTATAGGGCTGGAGGTGAATGTAGCATATCTGAACAAGATGCAGCACTGATGCAGTAGACACTTCCAGCTTTGAAGAGAGGCACTTGAGCATCTTTGGTTGCTATTGCAAAGTGATTATTTTAGGGTATTTTGTTGTCTTTAGGGGGGAATCTCTTTTACTGCTTTGTTTGTTGGGGGTGAGGAATGTGTTGCAAAAGCTCTTCAAATGGTCCTTCTCTTGACTTTTTTCAGAGGAGGTTCAGCCAGGCTAGGGTGCCCCTGCAGGGAGCTGTGTGTAGCTGGACGACTCCCTGCATGATCAGAGAGAAGTCAGAAAGGGATTTCTCATCTGCCTGTATTTGGGGGAGCTGTGTTTGTGGGTAGATGCTTGCCTGGAGAAGCAGTTGCTAGCAGGCAGCTGATGCTTTTGGAAAGACTAGGCTCTCTTCCCTGCAAATCTCTCTCACTGCTGCTTGTTTTGTTTTCCGGACTTCAAAAGCTGCATTAGCATCGTGCTCAGGGAGCTGAGAGCAGGCAGCAGCTGTGTTGTCTCCCTTCTCATGTTTCAGAGCTGAAGCAGGCAGCTGGGGAAGCTGAGAGCAGCAGTGAGGAATCAAGTGATGAGACATCATCTGAGGAGGAGCTTGCGACCACAGCAGTCCAGGTAACCTCTCAGAGTCTTCGTCCCCAAGAAATCAATTCCCTTCTCTTGAAAGGGAGAGAAAGTGCTGCAGTGCTCAGTTCTCTGAGAACATCCCTTTCATCTCTGGATGCATAAAATCCCCAAATCCAAGACCACAGAAACATGATGTGTAGCTGAGAGCTCCACTAATCTCTGTCAGCAGCAAATGCTTCATTCCAATTCCTCCCAGTGCCTGAAGTGGAAGGAGATTCTTTGATCTGTAGGAAGTGATTAAGCACAACTGTACAGATGTGACTTGCAGAAGGAGGACAGGTTAGCCAGGCTGTCTATGGACAAGTGGCTTGCTTCAAGTGCTCAGTTTTGTAGTCTGAACGAGCCTTTCCTGATCAAAGGCAGTGTGGTGACCTTGCTTAATACAGATTCTGCAATTACGACAGAGCCAGTTCTTCTCTCCTAAGTGTGTAAGAGTCTCCTTTTTCTTCCTCCTGTTCCCAGGCACAACCAGCTGTTAAAGCAGTGCAGGTTAATTCAACACCTGTGAAGAGTGCACCTGCTACTTCAGTGTCCACCAAGAAGGGCAGCACAGTGAAGCAAAAAGCAGTGACACCAAACCAGACTGAGCATGGCTCCGAAACGGCTCCAGTGGCTGCAAAGCCTGATGACACCTCAGAGAGCAGCGACTCATCAGACAGTGGAAATGAGGAGCCTCCATCAGTAACCCAGGTGCATCTGTCTGACACTGTCCTTGCATGCCTCTCCAAGGCTGGGAATTGCCATGGTTGGATTTGTCTTTCAGCTATAAGTTACAATAAATGGCATATAATTTGGCAAGCTAGCACAGCTTAGCTTCCTTCCTGTGGAGAGATCTCCAACTTGCGTTAGAGGTGACTGGTAATACCAGAAGGCTGATGAAGAATGTCTGGTCTTATTTCCTTATCTTGGGATGCTGTCCCCAGGCAGCTGGGTGAAAGGATTGCTTGTCTCTTCTTCCAGCTGCTGACCTTCCTTCAGCATTTGTCTATCCCAGGGGGCTCTGAAATCTTTCCTTGATTACAGTCTGAGGAGATTAATTATGCAACCATGGAATTTGCCTTCTTTCACACTGTCCTTTCTTGTCTTGTCCAGTCAAAGCCATCTTTAAAAACCTCCCAAGCCATCCTATCCCCAGTGAAAACCACACCAGCAGCATCACTCTCCAGCAAAGCGGCTCCAGCAAAAACACTTCCACTGTCCCAAGGGAAGCAAGCACCAAAAACAGCAGTGCTAAAGCAAGCTAAAGCCACGCCAGGAAGGACTGCTGCTCCTGCAAAGCCAGCTGAAAGTACAAACCCGGCAGAGAGCACTGACTCTTCAGGCAGTGAAGAGGAGGATCTGCCTGTGCCTGTCAGCCAGAAGGTGGGTGATGGTGCTTTCAGCTCACACGGGCTGCACAAAGCAGTTGTTCAGCCATTAAATGCTACCACTGATCAGTTCAGGTTGATGATTAGACTTGATGATCTTGAAGGTCTCTTCCAACCTAAATGATTGCATGATTCCTAAGGATTCCCAGGATCTTCCATGCGGGACACCATTGCAAGAGCTGTTGGAAAACACAAGCTCAGCTGAGGAGCAGTGTCCCAGCAGCAGCATCTGTGTGTAGGGAATAGATGCCAAGTGCCTCTTGGGAACTAGTCTGATTCTGACTGATTCATTGCAATTGTGCCTTCCCCCTCTGGAGTGGGCCTTGTGAGGGGTTGTCAGTGGTTTGGTCTTGCTTGATTCTCCTGTGCTATGCAGTTGTTTTAGAACTCTCTCAGGAGCACTCAGACTAAAGGCAAATCCCTTTGCGAAAGCATCCTCAGCTGTGAGAGCATCCTTAAGTCCATTGTATGGATTCTCACTGCATTGACTCTGAGCTGCAGAGCCTTTTGGGCAGCGCCCTGAAAACAGTGTTTTGGAGATGCTAGTTATTATCTGCTGGGGAGGAAGGGAATCCAGGGGCAGAGCCTCACATGTCCTTACAAGGAGGCTCTTTGTCAACCTGTCCTTTCAGGATTGACAGGCAGGAACCAGAGAGGCTCTGTATTTTTTGTCTTTATAGCCTTGGTCTGCTGAGGTGGGTGGAGGGGGATGCTTCTCTAACAGTTGGCTCTGTGCTGCTCTCTTCCTGCATTATTATACATAAAGATTCAGCTTTGAGTGGCAGGAGCAGCTATCTTGATAGCTGGGTTTATAATCAATGAATATACAGATGTTATAATTATGAAATAAACAAGAGAGTTTGGCTAAGCAGTCATTATACCAAAAAGAGAATAAATAAGAGTGCTTACCTTTGTCCTGGGCTTGCTGTAAAACTCCAAAGGAGGGATCTCTAGAAAGAGGTCCTTCCCCACTGGTAGTCAGCTCTTATAAGGGTCTAGCAGAGGTGGAGCCAGGCTTCACCCCTTCCAGCAGCACAGGTGAATTGCCTTCACCTGTGCTCCCAGGGCTGACTCATTGCTCACCTCAGGTGATCAATCAGAGGTTCAGGCTGTGATTCAGCAGCTCCCATACACTGGGCTATGAAGGATTCACTGTAAAACTATTGAGACTCATCCATTCTAGCAGGGGTGCCGTTGAAGGACAGACTGGGGTGGCTTTATTTTCCCCCTGTGCTGGGTTGAAGCTGGCAGCAGCAAGTACTGTCTTGCCAGTGGCTTTTTAACCACTTCAGCATCTTCCCTCTTGCAAAGTGGCAATTACCCTTCACTAAACGTAGTTAGCAAAGAAGAGCTTGTCATCAAGGGAGCTCTATTTTTGCCAAACAGGCTGTTTCTTCTTGTGTCAGTAGCCTGAAGACAGGGACCTTAAGTGAAGCCTGAAGATTAAACCATTAGGTTTAGCTGTGTCCACAGTCCTGTCCTCCCTGTCAAACTCTTAGCTCATCTTCACCATCTGCTACTTGGGCATATGCTAACCACTGACTTGCTGTATCCTGCAACTTCCTCTGGCTTCTGTGCAAGATCCAAACAGATACAGAGCGTTGGAAGCTGCTTCATCTTTCCCTGTGGGGGTGGATTAGCACAATTAAAATGAACATCATGCCTAAATGGAACTGCTTAATTGGTATGTTTACCCCTGAAGACTCAGGAATATTTAGTCAAAGAAGTTGACAAGGTGTTTGCTTATTTTTGGAGGGGAGGTTGGTGGTGGGGGGACAGAACAGACTGACCTTAAAGAGCAGATGAGCTGCCTTTCTTTTGGAAATGTCAGTTCTGCTCTGCTTTCCTCTCTCCTTAACACTGTGGGCCAAAGATGGCACACAAGCCCACTGTGGACAGGCTTCTTTTTCTGCTTACCAGGACGGGGTGTGAGCTGCATAAAGACACGTGCTGGGAACTTGTGTCACTCCTGAGCATCCCAAAGAAACCTACACAGACTGTGCTGGTGGAAGTTGTATCTGCAGGTTTTTGTCTTAAACTGAAGGTCCTGTGCAGGAAGGCCAGATCTCCCATGAGCTGGAAAGTCTTTCCCTCCCCGAATCCTGTCCCTGTGCTCACTTGCAGATGTCAGTACTCCCTTCACTGTGTCGTGACACAGCTGAGCTATTGATTTCAGTCCTGATACGCTGGTGGCACTTCTATGGAGGAATGTGATTGTTACAGTTTGCTCATTGCACGTGGCTTGGCGTTGCTTCCCCCTCTTGTCATGCAGAGCTGCATGATGCAAATGGACCCAGTGGAGTGACAGATGGGTTGTGCAGGAGCTGAGTCATCACTGGTACTGATCCACAGGCAGCTCCTGGTTTGGGGACTGAAGAAGGAGCAGGAAAAATGATTTCCTCTTGAGTTATTTTCCTCCTCTCTGAGTTACTGCAGTACCCGTGACTCTAAGCTGTCAGAACCCCCTGCCTGTGTTACTCTGCTCAGCCACGCTGCTGGCCTGATTCTGTCTGGAGCCATGCCATGGGACGTGGTGGCCGTCAGCCATCTGGCAGTGACCAGGATCAGGTGGATGGAGGGACCTTGGCTTCTGCCCAGGAATATGTGAGGAATCCCAGGGCTGTATAAAGGCTTATAGTGGTTTCTCTGTGGATGCTGTGTTTGTTCAGTGCCAGGATTCCTCCATCTAGTTCTTCCACAGGTCTTTTCTAATCTCTTCTGAAGTTAGAAGGCAAAGCAGCCCTCCTGCACGGGGATAAGCCAGTCCTGGTGCTGTGAAGGTCTTAAAAGGGAGCAACTGGGGTTTGATCTCGATGGATTTTTGCTTTGCACAGCACTGCCTGGGAAGGAAAGGGAATGGAGCTAATGCATTCATGTAGACCATGTGAATTCTAGTGCTGTCTTCAAGCACTTCTCTCTTCAGCACTGCAAGTCTGGCCTCTCTCCTGGAGATAGTGACTCACTGGAATCAAAACAAAACAGACAAGTGGGGTTTGCTGCCCCCCCCTCCCAAGTGCTTTTGGAGGTTTCTGTTTCTCTAAGCAGAGTCAAAATGTGCTTGGCTTGTTCCGAGTGCTGTTCTGTAATGGGATAAACATGCAGATGCTGTTGTCTGTTTAGTGTTTGGCTTGGAGATGATAAACACTGCCCCAGTGGCAGCCCTCTGTGGGGCTGTGCCAGGAAGCACGATAGGCTCCATCCTCCTGTGAGGCGGCTGGGCTGCTGCTCTCGGCTGCTGGCCATGGCTGGTGGAGGGCTGAGAGCAGGCAGGGCTGGGTTTGCAGCATCGCAGGACTGGGAAATGGGGATGGCAGGGGCTGTGCAGCAGGGCAGGAGTCTGTCTTACCCTCCTGCAGCAGAGCCCGAGGCACGGCACCAAGCAGTCTGTCAGCATGCAGGTTGAAGGGGGCTGCCTGCTCTGCAAAGCGTGATGCTGCTCTTTGGCAGAACAGCCCAAAGATGAGCCGTGAGCGGAGTAAACTGAGTGGGTGCAGAGCACTGTGAGCTTGGAGAGTATCTGCGGGTGCTGCAGCTACCAGATCTCTCAGCAGGCACTCTCCCTCTGTCACTGCTAGCCTCCAGCAGTGTGCAGGAGGGACGTCTGCAGCCTTTTGCCCAAGCTGCTAGAGTACATCCCAGTTGAGTTGCAGGGTTCTTTTTTGTACTAATACCATATTCCTGGAACTGTGTTTCTTTTTTTGTTCAGAGGTTACCAGAACAGCCTGGGTCCGTTCCCAGCCAGAGCCAGGCTGCTAAAGCCACGACTCCTCAAAAGGCAGTGGGAAGCACCTTGAAGAATGAGAGCTCTGAAAGTGGAAGCAGCGACTCGTCTGACAGTGAGGAGGAGACTGCAGTGTCACAGATACAGCCTGCACACACTGCTGGTGAGTCTCATGTAGTGACCAGGATCCCTCGCCTTCATCCTCATGGTTTCCTTTTCTACCCTGCAAATGGAACCGCCTAGCCTGTTGATGATAACTCTTGTTTTCCATGGCTTTCCAGGACAACTCTTTCTCATAGTAACAATCTCACATGCCTTTTCTGCAGTGAAAAGCAATGCTACGCCCCAGCCAACAAGTGTGAAGAAAGCACTGGCACCCACACCAGCCCCAGCCCCAGTTCTGCGTATGGCCAGCAGTGATGACTCCAGCGAGGAGTCGGATTCTGATGAGGAAATAGTCCCTCCCACACAGGTAAAGAGCTGCTGACCTGCTGAGTGTGGGTGTGAGGAGGTATCTCAGGACTGTCAAAGGTAGTTGAGTGGGTGGTAGATGGTGCAAAGAAGAGCCCTTTTCTCAGCTGGATCAGGGTTTCTTGGCAGCATCCCTGGGGCTCAGTGACCCCATCTCTGGATGTGCATTTCGGCAAGCTTGGTGTACATGAGAGTAGTGAAGGGTGTGAATATTTTGGCAGGAACACGACTAGATGTGTGAGGCCAGAGCTCCTCTGGGTCTGTGTTCCTTTTGCCCTACTCCAGGGAGTTAAACAGACTGGAAAGGCAGCCAAGTCCTTGCAGGCAGAGTTTTTCCATGAGCTGGGTAGCTGGATTTCCCTGTTTCCTCCCAAACCCTTTGCAGGGGATGCAGCTGGTGCTTTTTGCTGCTTACCATGCCTCAGTTGGCTGGACAGATTGTGTTGAAGGGAGGCACAGTGCACTTGCTGCCTTTCAGCCAGAGGAAGTCAGACCCCTACTTTTGAGAGTGGAAATGACCCCGTATCTGTGCCAAAGGCACTCCTGAGTGTTCATGAAGCCAATCCCAGCTCTCAGCCGAGTCTCTTCATGCCATGTCTCTCTCTCCATGCTGGTACTATAGGGCTATAGCTGAGCTTTGTGGGGGCTTGAACTGCTTCTGCATGAAGTTATTCTGGGTGTCTCTGCACCCCTTAAGCCCAAGAAAAATCCATGTGAAAAAGCTTTCACTGTGGAGTGTGGTTGTCATTCCTACATGATGGGGGTTGCAGGAGCTGGAGAAAGGGCTGAGTGGCCAAGTGCACTTCTTGTCCTATTTGCCTACACGTACATATCCCCTTCTGGCCAGCACCCTTGCTGAGAAAGGGAGAAGAGGAGCATTCAAGGAAATCCTTCCCCATGTTGGCTATTGCTATGGCCAATGGAAAGGCTGCTTCCTACCCAACTGGTTGGCAAGCAGCCAGCCTGAGAGTCCTTGATTAAAGCTTTTTATTTATAATACCAAGACTATAAAATAATGCAGTTGCTGCAACTTGAGCTCTGTGCAAGACGGCTGAGAGCTCTCATTGGCAGTTCTCTGTTTTGTGCAGCGTTGCCTTCTTTTCTGAAAGCCAGATGTTGTGTGAGAAATGTCAGCCCACAAAGACCCAGCTTGTCAGAGATGGTGAGAGGGAGGGCTGCTCACGTAGCCTTATTTGTAACACAAACCAGGAGGCTGTGAGTTCCTTTGCTGCCCCTGCTGCCTCCTCTGCTGGGGTTTGTGTCTTGGACCTGATGTCAGTGTCTGATTTCCATGCCCGTGGCTCTTCTATTTTTAACTTCTCTTACGTTAAGTTTGATGAGGTGCTTCAAGTGTGAGGAAACACAACTGCTTCTTGTTAATTTGCTCTTTAATCCGTGACTTGCTTGTGGACCTGAAGGCAGATTTGACCTGCAGTTGGTGTCCTTGTTTTATCTCTGTTGCTAATTAACCCTGAATGTGTTGTACCAGTATGTAAGAGAGTCCAGGCGCCTGCTCTGCAAAATAGAGTCTGCAGTAACAATCTTGCTAGTGCTGCCCTGGATAGATATCTGTGCACATCGTACTCTGTCTGTGAGCCTTCTGTAGGGTTGCTTTTTTGGCACCAAGCTGATGCAGTAGGCACATGCAGGGCGCTGGCCATGCATGAGAGCTCACAGTAGACAAAGCTGACCAGTGAGGAAAGCAGAATAAGAGCATTAGAGCTGTGCTAGATGGAGGAGGTAGCAGTGGATTGGTGCTTCTGTCTGTTTTCTCTCCAAGTTGTGCTCTGTCCTATTTTTCTTTCATATCTATTTTAGACTCTATCCCAGCAGAACATCAAACCAACCAAGGTTTCAAGCACAGTGGCTGCCAAGGCTAATGCCACACCACCTTCGGGGAAGGGAATAAAAGCACCTCCTATCCCTTCAATTTCCAGAGTGTCTGAAAGCTCAAACAGTGATTCCTCAGAGAGCAGCACAGTGGTGGGAGAGGTAAAGACAGAGGAGATGAATGTGGGGAGCTTCCCTGGGGAGAGTGGGCAGAGGGGGTGAGCGAGCTGGAGCTTGAGGCTGGTGCATTGTCCTCTTCTGCAGGAGAATGCTCAGGAAGGGGGAAGATTGCTCTATTAAAATAGAGAACCACTGTTATTGCACTGATATTGCCAAGCCCAACTGTTCTAGGCTGCTCTGTCCAGTCATGGGCATGAGCAAATATTCCTTCTTCCATATGCATTTCATCTTTCTCTCCTTAGGCTGTTCCTCCTCCTTGCTTAAAGCAGACAACTCCCACGGGGAAAGCTCCTCCAGCCAGCCCTGCTGCCCCGCAGGCTGCTTCCATCCTGAGAAGCCCCACTGCCAAGTTGAAGAAGCCAGGCCTGCAGCCAGCACAGGATGCCAGGCTGAGCCAGACTGCACTGCTCACCCAAGCAGAGGAGAGCTTGGACAGCAGCAGTTCCTCTGACAGTGATGAGGAGACACCCAAGCAGCCTCCCAAACCTGGTCAGTTCTCCCAAAAAGATGCTCTCAGTGCTGTGGGCCAGGCCAGCTTTTTGTTCCCCTGTAGGAGGCATGGCTCCTTCACATTAGTGGTTGGAGAGTGATTTCTTCTCTCCAGCTCTGCAGAGGGCTTCCCTTTGTATGGAGAAGGCCTGATGGTGGCAATCCTCACGTGCTGGGTAGGTGAACTGGCCCTGAGTAAGCAGTGGTGGGTTTAATGGGGTGAACTGTGCTTCTCCAGCAGGGCTGCTGCAGAAACCAGGAGGGACTGAGCCAGATGACAGCTCCTCATCAGATTCCAGTGAGGATGAAGAGGCAGTATCACAGGTATTGTGCCTGAGCAGGCTGTGGGATCCATCTTGCAGCTGACTCCTGAGTAGCAGAGAAAAGGTTGTTTTCCACCATAGCAAATGGAAAGCTGGGGTAGGTTTGCTAGGAGGAAAGTGTAGTGCAGTGAGCAGGGCTTTCTTGTGTGGGAAGGCACAGGCTTTGAAATCTGGAATGCTTCCCCAGGCAGCCAAGCCTTGGGTTCAGAGCTTTCCCTGCAGATGGGAGGAGCTGGTGCCTAGCAAGGGTTAAAACAAGAGAACTGGTGCGTAGTTCCAATAGCAGCAGGATTTTTCCCCCTTTTTATTTGTAACTTAACCCCTGTCCAAACCATTAAATTCCCTGTGTAAGTAATGTGCAGGGCGTGCAGCACATCTGCAGTGCATTAGCTGTGCGTGGGTGCACGCTAATGGCCAGGAGCCTTCCCCAAGTCTGCTTTACTGGGTGGGAACAAAGGAGAGACCCTATCACCATCAGCTCTTGCTGTTGCAAGCTCAGGGTCTGTCTGTGCTAGCTCCCTCTCCTGGCAGCCCTGCCTTGCCACGGTCTCTCTGCAGAGCTGATTGAACCACGCATTATCACTCTGCAGGTGGCCAAAGTGGGGGCCCTTCACTTGGAGTGTGGGTACAATATCAACAGAGAGAGATCTATGTACCTGGTGTGAGGGATGCTGCTCTGCTGTGCTGTCTCCTCAGTGTGTCTGTGCTGTTTCAGTCCCTCCTCACAGGTTATGTGAGCCTCTCCAAGAGCCCAGCAGCACCTCAGACACCAAAGACGGTTCCCCCCCAGCCCGTAGGCAATGCAGGGCAAGGGAAAGCAGCTGTGAATGCCAACAGCTCCCTCGCCAAAGTCTCCACGAAAGCAGCCCCAGCTGACAGCTCCAGCAGTGACAGCAGTGACTCTGACACGGACGTCGAGCAGGTGTCTGCAAACCACAAAGCAGGTGGGTCCTTTGGCAAGGCTGGGAGTCTGCCTGGCACAGGAGCAGAGCTGTGTTGGCGCAGGAGAGTGACACTGGGACCAGGCTCTGCTCCCGTAGTGTCTCCACTGCAAAACCCAGCGTGGGGTGCTGCTGCCGTCTGCTGGCTTCCCCTGGCCATGACGCAGCTATCTCTGCTGTAGCTGGGATGGCCAGCAGATTTTTGCTTTGGAGGGAGAACTGGGTATTTGTCTTCAAATGCGTATTCCTCTGCTCTGCTAACTGTGGTGTGGGAATGCTCCCAGAGTTGTCATCTCTCTCGTCACTTTTTCTGCAGAAAGCAAACCTCCTCTGGGCCAGGAAGCCACAGGAGCATCCAACAAAGAGAAGGGGGCAGGAAAAACTGATGCAAGTCATGCCAACCCCAAGCATTCCCCATTCAAGAAAGCCCTGGCTGCGAAAGAGAATGATGTTGAGGCAAAAGAGACGCAAGCAAACCCATTGCCATCTGCACTGCTTTCAACCCCACAGCCAGAGGAGTCAAGTTTGGGGAGTAAAAGTGAGGTCACCACTGCTGCTGGAGTTCCTGCAGTGCAAACAGCAGAAGGGTTGGAAAAGAAGAAGAAAAAAAAAGAGAAAAAAGAGAAGAAGGAAAAGAAGAAAACTTCCTCCACAGCAGACAAGGCTGTGAAAACATCTAAAGGCAAAGACAAAGAGAACAAAAAGCAGAAAGCATCTCAGAAACGGAAACGGCCAGGAGAGGACGGGGCTGTAGGACAGCCCAAGGAAAAGAAGCGGAAAGGACAAGCTAACGAAGAAGTGCCCAAAAAGAAGAAAAAGAAAGCAGCTGATGACCCAGAGAAGCCGCCAGACAGCAAGGAAAAGAAAAAATCAAGTAAAAGTAAGTTTCCATGTTGTGTGGGGCTGCATTTGCAGTAGGTTCTTGCAGCTGATGGGTGCTCAGCCTCTGTTGCAGGGCAACCACCTTCCCATTAGCCTTGTCTCATTCCTTTCTGGCCCACTCAAAGCCAGTGCAAGATTTTCAACTCCCCATTTCAGTATTTTTTCTGCATTTTCAGCATCAGGTCATACTGCAGGCAGCCAGCTGGGCTCTCCTGCCTCTGTCCCACATCCAGCACAGCACGAACCATGTAATACTTGCACTGATCCTTGCTGTTTGCAGAGCAAACTGATGTCCCTATGCAGATGTCATGGGATGACCTGTCTCATGGTTTTCTCCTTTCCTGGCCTTTACTAGGGCTGGAAGTATCCAGCTCAGGGCTGGCAGAGGGTTGAGGTGAGTCTGTGCAACTGCCTGAGGCCTCCTTGTGCACCTTGTGATGCCTGCCCATCTGCACTGGGCTAACACGAGGGCATTTTTTTATCCTTTGCAGCTCAGAATCCATTTGCAAGTCATAGCTATTGTGGGCTTCTTCATGTGAGAGAAAGAAGATGGAATGGGTGGGCCAGATCTGCTGGGCTTTCTGTTCTGCAGAGATGCACCCCTTCATTTTGGAGGAGACAGCCTTGCCTGTCAGCCTCTGTGTGGGCTGTTGCACAGACATGCACTGGAGCTTCTTGGTACAGTCGTGCTCAGCTGAAACTTGTGTCCATCTGGTGCTGGTAGCTCCTCTTGCTTTGGTTTCTGGCACGTGCTCAGCTGCCCCAGCACTGAAACAGTTCCTCAGGGTGGTTGGACAGCAGCAAGTGGGAAGAAGGGCATCCTGCCTAATTCTGCCCACACGTGTGCAGGGATCAAACTAGTCAGGCCTGAGGGTACTGGGGTGGGCATGGCTTCCTTGTGGCGCAGCTCTGCTCTCACCCAGAGATACTGCCATGGATTGAATGTGATCAGAAACTCACCAGGAATGCCTCCTCCTCAACCAGCAGCTCTTCATGTCCCCTCACAGAGGTCTTAGTTGGCTTTTCTTTCCCAGAGAAAAAGACAGGAAAAGAAAAGAAGAACAAAAAGATGCCCACAGAAGGGGAGTCGGCAGCAGATAGCTTTGCTGAAGTTCACAAGAAGAAGAAGAAGGTATGTGGGAGACCTGGGGCAGGGTGCCATGGGAACAGCCATTCTGAGGAGCACTTGTAATGCTCATTCCTGCAGCATGTGTGGCTGGAGGGGAGCAGAGCCGTGTCCTGGCCTTGCTGACGGTACAGAGCCTCAGTACAAAAACCTGACCTCTGGTTGTTTGGCATTGGGGTAGATTGAAAAAAGGCTTTTTCCTGTATCCCCCAGGGAAGATACTTTCCCTTAAAAGGAACAGACCCTGAGGCCCTTTTGTTTTCAGGGAGCTTGCCTGAGTAAGAGCTCTTCCCTCACTGTCTGTTCATCTAGCTGTTGTCAGCAGGAACTGGAGCTCCTGAGGGCTTTGCAGGCTGTTGCATCCCTTGCCAACGGCTTGGAAAGGGTGGCAGAGAGACAGAGGGCGTTCCTTGTCATCGATCCGTCCTTGGCATCTGAGGAGCATCTGTGGCTGTTGGCTCTGCTCAGTACTCCGTGTCTGTGATGCAGATACACTGATTTATTTTTTACCCTTTCCTTTTTAGAAGAAGAAAACAGCTGAGCCGGAAGGATTGTTGTGAGAAGGTACATGGCCCGTGGGAACTATCAGTCGGTACCTCTGAGCGGCGGTAACCTTGGCCAAATTCAGTGCTCCTGAGCCAGTCTTGGGAAGACCTTGTGTCCTCTAACCACCCACTGTGTGAGGCAGCCTGGCCCTGTATTAGAGAGCCAGGGAGTGGAACAGAATAAGGGAAGTCATACAGAAGCGTGCTGGCTTCTCTGGATGTTTGACCTCAACTCTTTAGCTGCTGAAATCCGGATGCCCAGCCTAGATGTTGCTGTCCTCTGTCACCAGCAGAGATAAGTGGCCTCTGGCAGCGTCTGTCTGTCCTGGCTGACCACAGGGAGCTTGGAAAAGTCATGTGGATGAGCTGGTGAAGTTCTGGCCATCTGGAAGTGGACCAGATGAATCTGCCTCCACTCTGCTCAGCTGTACGGCTGTTCTCTTCACTATCCCTAATTCTCTTAACTCCTTTCCCCAAAGGTACCGCATCCCTGTGATTAAGGATTTATGGGTGAAGATCAAACAGAAGAGTGGAAAAGGAAGCTCATCAGCAGAATTCCCACTTCTTTTTCTTTTATAAATAATAATTTATATCTTCTTTTAACTGTGACTTTTAGAGCAGAGTGACGTAACTTTCTGCCTCCTGTCCTGCTGGGGCCCAGAGCTGTGTTTATTGCCCTCCCTGACAGCTCACGTGCTGCACTAAGAACCGAACCGAGGGAGGTGGTTTGACCAGAGAAGAGCCTGCAGAAACTGCTTTCCTCCTAGCTGACGCCCAGCCACCTTTTTTCTCTTCACAGAGTTATATTTTTAAGAGAAACTTCTACTCTCTTTTTTCCTTCTGTGATTTGTGGTGTCAGACCTTTTACTACCTATGGAAGGGAGCTCTTTGGGTTTAGTTTTTGTTCTAACAAACACTGACGGCAATAGTTATTGTGTCCCTGGAGTTGCACTGAACAGCTGCGTCCACAGCTGTTCTCAGCCAAGGCTGCATTTTTTTGTTTCTTTTTTTTTTTATGGAATACAGAATAAAAGAGGAACGGTGAGACTTTCCTTCAGCTGCATCTGAGGGACAGGGGTAGGAAGGCCTTTGGGTTGGGGCTGAGCTGGCTGGGGACAGGAGCTGACTCCAGAGGATGCTGCAGGTAGGAGGGGAGCACCCAGCATCTAAACCAGGCTCTTGGGCACATTTTCAGCCCCTGGGGGGAACTGCATTGCTTTCTGCAATGTCAGTGGTGAGGAAGAAGAGGGAGCAGACCCTTCTGGCTAGGGCCAGTAGCACGGTAAGGGACAGGAATGCAGAGCTCAGCAGTTTTCTTCCCTTTTCTTTCTTTTTTTCCCCCTGAAATTGAATTTATTTTTAATGGTTGCAACCCAGTTGGCATTACTGCACCACTTGAGTTGCTTACAAGGCTTTCATATTGAAAAGTTTATTTGAAATAATTAGCTTCTGTTTTCATTTGTAAAGAAAGTATTGGATATGTGCAGAAAAACTCAAACACCCCCTCCCTCCAAGGTGAGCTCCTCTTCCCCTTGCTGCCCCCTGTGGCTGTTCCTCAGATGAAAGTTGAGCATCTATCTCTACTACAGTCTTGAAAAAAACCAGAAATAAAACCCAAGAAAGATGAAGGAAGGTTTAAAGGTTTAGTACTCTTAACAGGGCTCCAACCTACAGGGGTTAGATAAGCTCAGGGAGGTTCTTTTGCTGCTTTTAATGTTTGTTCAGTGAAAGAAAGCATTAGTGGCTCATTCTTCAGCAGGGGTGATCTCTGCATTGCTGGGAGAGGTGTCCTGGGGGGAACAGGAGAAGGCTGGGAGCCAGGTGGTGTCCCTCACACAGTGCCAGTTGCAGCTCACATCCCAACAGCAAAAACAACTGGGGCTGCCAGAGCCGAAATCATTTTCCAGCTCTACCCCCCGGGTCAGTAAATGGAGCAGTCACACTGCAGCCCCAACCAACTGGGGTCCACCCCAGGTCCTGTCCTGCAGCAGGGGAATGGATGTAACTGAGGTCAGGGCAGGAGCTCTAATTGTCTTTGGGAAAGCAAGGTAAGAGCAGAAAAATGGAGCAAAAAAGGTGGGCTGAGATGCTGAAGGCTGGATGGGCATCCACAGGCGTCCTCTTCTACTTGGCTGATTTGAAGGGAAGAGAGGAGGGAGTCACCAGCTGGCTCTGAGTCCAGAGAGCCTTGTGCCCCTGTATCAGCGTGCTGCCAGCAGCCCTGCTGTGGGGAACTGGCAGAGCAGAGCTCCTCCAACCCCCTGCAGCACATCAGTCCCAGGGCTTCTTACCTTTCAGCATGTCCACCCCGGAGAAGATCATCTCCTCAGGCTCTGTCGGGGTGGGTGCTGCAAAAGGACAGCAGCAGCTCAGTGCCACGGCCTCATCCCTCACCTCACCCAGGATGGTGAGCGGTCAATTTTGCCCCCTCCTTGGCTCTCAGTTGCCCCAGCCCTGGGCCCCTTCTCTCCCTGCCTGTTGCTCCTCCCGCCACCTACCCGAGCAGTCCAGCTCTCCCCGGGTGACAGTGCCCTCAATCCTGGTGCCATTTTTGTAGCAGCACCAGCAGTAGCCTATGCTGGCAAAGCACTGCTTGGGCAGGTAGTCGCCGTTCTCATCGCACTCGGGGCGGAAGCGACCCGGATGGACACCACCAAAACTGGCCTCTGCCTGGCACTTAGTTTGCACTAGGGTAACAAAAACAAACGGGACAGGGTGAGCACCTGGGACCTCAGGGCACGTGGAAGATCCTATTAGGGAAACCAGCAGCAAAACGCTGCCTTGCTCAGGTGTGTCACTTCATTGGATTTCCCCAAGGAAACCCATCTACCTTAATGAGAGCCAAGGGTAACGATCTCCCTGAAGGGTGATAGTGACAGAGAGGGTTGGAAGTGGTGCTTTGGATTTTGGGACATTGCTGTTTCCAAAGGCCTCCAGCAGGAGGCTCAAGGAAGAAGAGGCCCTAAAGAGGGCAGGGGACAGCAGTGTCACTGCCGTGGGGGTACACTACTCCCAAAGTCTCAGCCCTGACCTGCAGCACCCACACCCCGATACCTTTCTCTGCTGGGATTGCATTCTTCTCCTCCACCTCAGGGCCTTTGGCCATTTCAAAGAGCAGCCACTTGTGCATCCAGGCCTCAAAATCCTGAGGAAAGGGAAGCAGAGGGTGAATATGGAGAGGTCCTGAGCCCAGCAGGCAACCGGCCCACCAAGCGCCAACAGGACTCACTCCTGGAAGGGATGGGTAGGAGAGAACCAGCCCTCACCTGCCAGTCCATAGCACTCATGGTCTTCTTCAGACGCTTCATGTTGCCCAGCATGTCGTCGTTCAGCTCTGGGAATGTCTTCCTGGGGTCTGCTTTCTGCAGAGTGAATATTGCAGTGAGAGATGGCAAAGGAAAACAAGGAGATAAGGCAGGAGGGAGCACTGCTTCTATAAGCACTGCTGGGACCAGAACTCTACCAGCACGGAGGCCCAGGGAGCTCAAAGCATGCAGTCTCATTACCTCCTGCAGAGCAGAGGGCAGCTGTGGAGCTCAGGTGGGTGGAAGAGCTTACCAGCAGCAGGTGCCTGACTTGATCCTCAGTCTTGTTGCTGCGGGGTTTCATGGCCTCCACGGGCTGCAGAGAAAAATCACAGAATGGTTGGGTTGGAAGGGACCTCGCAGGCCATCCTGATCCTGTTCCAACCCCTTGCTGAGGGGGCACCTCTTACCATGTTACCAACAGAGGGGGCAAGAGGCAGCACCCTCATGGCCATGGGCACGTTCATCATGGACATCGCCATCTTGTTTGCTGGCTGGGTGCCTGCCAAGGACAGAACAGTGTGAGGGGCACGGCCAAGCAGGGTAGCTCTGGCTTCCACCAAGCCCTCAGTATGTCCTGGGGTTGGTGGTCTAGCAGGACCCAGTGCCCATCCCCAGCCCTGATGATGCTACTGACTGGTGGGCATCCTCCTCTGCAGCGACTCCAGCTTCAGGCTCTGCGAGGTCTTGGTCAGCTTGCTGATCTGCCCGCTCTGCTGGTACACATAGTACACAGTGACGGCCTGGCCAGCGATCAGCAGGGCCACCAGGATGGACACCGCCGACAGCGCGGTTCTGCGGCCGAGGGAGGACCTGCGGGACAGGAGAGGGAGCGCTTGTGGGGCCAAACACCAAAACAAGGTGCCCTATGGTCCCCAAGCCCCACGGTGCCACTGAACCCAGACTGCTCTGAGCAGCGCACCCAGAGAAACACAGATCTCTTCTAAACGATGAGCGTGACATCAGCGCTTGGGTGGCTGCCACGCACTGGGAACCGAAACCACAGCTGTGAGCAGAGGGGCTCGGCCACGTGCGCAGGGCTGAAGGGTTGCAATTGCACATGGCCACCAAAGAAAGGCAAAGGAAATAGAAAACGTCTCCTTGGCGTGGCTCTGAGCTGTGTCCTGCCCCCGGGAGCCAGCCCTGCACTATGGAATAAGGCACCTACAGGTGCTGCCCGGCAGAGTCTGGACCTGGCCATGCTGCCAGCCTGTCTGCCCAGAGACTGATGATGTCAGTGCTGCTGGGATTTTTGATTGGCTGGAAGTGTTCGAGGTGACCCCCCCACCACCACTCCCACACCCAGCACAAAGAGTTTGGGACACAGAGGGTGGCTGGGACATGGGGGTGCTGTAGCATTCCAGCAGGACCCTGCAGCCATGCTGCATCCCCACCCACTCCATACAGCCAAGCTTGCAGTCCATCAGTTGGGCTGTGCCCCCCACCCACTCATAACCACAACACGAGCATATCTGCCCCACAGCCGTGCTGAGTGATCCCCCACGCACCCCATAACCGTGACACAAACCTGCCCACCCCACAGCCACGCCATGCCCCAACCACCCCACAGCCGCTCTGCGACCCCCTCGACCCCACAGCCACACAGTACCCACTCTCAGCCCCACGCAGCACAACTCCTCCACCCCACAGTCACACTGTGTGCTCCCCACTCCCCCCACCCATGTCCCTGTGGTGGCACCTCTCGTTGTTCCCAACAGGGAGCACCCCACTGCTGCTATCGGAGGAGATGAGGTCCCGCTGCTCCTCAGCCATGGTTGCACCACTGCTGCCCGATGGGGAAATGAGAGCCCCACAAACTGCTGCTGGAAATACCCCAACTAAGCACCCCCCGCCCTGCCACCCCTTGGGAGAGGGACAAAAAAAAAAGCCCCATTGGCTGCTGGCCCTGCATCACCTGTTGCCAGGCAGAGTTCTGTGCCGAACGTCTCTGGTCCGCAGTTGATGCCAGGTCCCATCCCGAGCACTGCTGCTGTCGCGCTGTGGTCTGCTGCCTGTGTCATGGGAAGCATCTGCTGGTGTCACCGGTTAGCAGGCACACTGCCCGGCTCCGCTCCATGAAGTTTTAAGGCTGGAGCAGGCACAAGAAGGCTTCTTGAGCAAATCAATCCTCTTTCCTGGGGCAGCTCTCCTGCACCTGCAGGGATTGCTCAGCAAAGAGACCTCTTGTTGGCTGAAACCTGCTTGAGGAACAGAGACTCATCCACAAAGAATGGGGCAGGGACCCACACAAGACCCCTCTGCACCCTGTTCTGAAGGCATTAACATCTCACGTCTTCAAAACCAGCAACACACCCTTGGCTTTTAAAAACAAAAAAAGCCCATAAAACCACCCTGTGCCATTTCCAGCCCTCCCTTGCCCAGCCAGCAGCTGGGGCACAGGGTTTGCACAGTTCTGGCTGACGCTCAGCTCCTTGCAGGGAGAGAGGGCTGTGAGCCCCCAGACAGCCCTGGCCCAAGGGGTGCCAGGAAAAGCAAAGGGGAACTGAGCAAGTGAGAAAGCAGCACGGATTTCACCAACCTCTGTTCTGGGCAAGTTTTTCTCTTTTGGGTTTTTTTGAAGACATCTTTGCACAGGGCTGTGGCATTTAAAATTTATGTCAGTAAGTCAATGGCTTTCCCAGGAAGATACTGACCTTTGCACCATTGTTCCTCTTTCTTCACTGTTTCCTGCACCCCATGGCAGCACCTGCACCCAGCACTGTGGGACCTCTCATCCGCA